GGTGTGGGAAAATGGAAGAGGTTTTAAAATACCCTAAAAAATTTTCCTCTCAAAGGTGCCCCAAAGAGGTTTTTAAGAGTGTCAGAAAATAGGCACAAAATAATTCAGGAAAAAATAAAAATCGCAATGAAATGGCCATAAAAAAATAAAATTAAAAAAAAAATCCTTCCCGAAAAATATTTGGGTGGGGGAAAATGGAAGAGGTTTTAAAAAAGCCAAAAAAAATTTGCTCTCAAAGGTGCCCCAAAGAGGTTTTTAAGAGTGTCAGAAAATAGGCACAAAATAATTCAGGAAAAAATAAAAATCGCAAGGAAATGGCCATAAAAAAATAAAATTAAAAAAAAAAATCCTTCCCGAAAAATATTTGGGTGTGGGAAAATGGAAGAGGTTTTAAAAAAGCCTGAAAAAAATTTCCTCTCAAAGGTGCCCCAAAGAGGTTTTTAAGAGTGTCAAAAAATAGGCACAAAATAATTCAGGAAAAAATAAAAATCGCAAGGAAATGGCCATAAAAAAATAAAATTTAAAAAAAAAAAATCCTTCCCAAAGAATATTTGGGTGGGGGAAAATGCAAGAGGTTTTAAAAAAGCCAAAAAAAATTTGCTCTCAAAGGTTCGCCCAAGAGGGTTTTAAGAATGTCAGGAAATAGGGACAAAATAATTCAGGGAAAAAAAAAAAAAGTCGCGAGGAAATGGCCATAAAAAAATAAAATTACCCAAAAAAAATCCCCCGAAAAAATTTTAAACAATAATTCTCAAAATATTCCCCCCAAAAATTCTTCAAATCTTTAAAAAGACCTGGAAAATTCAAAAAAAAAAAAAAAAAGCCAAAAAAATTCCCCCAAAAAATAATTAAAAAAAAAAATCACAAAGAATTCCGCCAAAAAAATTTTAAATCTTTAAAAAAGACCCGGAAAATTTAAAAAAAAAAAAAAAAAGCCAAAAAAATTCCCCCAAAAAATAATTAAAAAAAAAAATCACAAAGAATTCCGCCAAAAAAATTTTAAATCTTTAAAAAAGACCCGGAAAATTTAAAAAAAAAAAAAAAAAAAGACCCAAAAAAATCCCCCAAAAAATAATTTAAAAAAAAAATCACAAAAAATCCCACAAAAAATTCCCAAAATCTTAAAAAGTCCCCGGAAAATTAAAAAAAAAATAAATAAATAAAAATAAAAAAACCCGAAAAATTAAAAAAAAATTGCAAAAGGATTCCCCAAAAAAGTTAAAAACAAAAATACAAAACAAATCCCACCAAAAAAATTCTTAAAATCTTAAAAAATCCCTGGAAAATTAAAAACCAAACAAACAAACAAACAAACCAAACCTGGAAAACTCCCCAAAAAAATCCCTGAAAAATTAAAAAAAAAAATCCCCCAAAAAATTCCAAAAATATCCCTCCAAAAAATTCCCAAAAAAATCCCTCGAAAATCACTGAACTATTCCCAAAAATTAAAAAAAATCCCTGAAAAATTCCCAAGAAGTCCCGAAGAATTCTCACAAAAATCCAGAAAAATCCCTAAAAAATTTTTTAAAAATCCTAAAAAATCCCTGAAAAATTCCCAAGAAGTCCCGAAGAATTCTCACAAAAATCCAGAAAAATCCCTAAAAAATTTTTTAAAAATCCTAAAAAATCCCTGAAAAATTCGCAAAAAATCCCCGAAAAATTCCCAAAAGATCCCTGAAAAATTCCAAAAGAATTCCCAAAAAATCCCTGAAAAATTCCCAAGAAGTCCCGAAGAATTCTCACAAAAATCCAGAAAAATCCCTAAAAAATTTTTTTTAAATCCCTGAAAAATTCGCAAAAAATTCCAAAAAAATCTCCAAAAAATCCCCAAAAATTTTCAAATCAATATCCCAGAAAAACCCCAAAACCCCCCAGTAATTCCCGAGATTCCGAGCGGTGCCGACCTTTCCCGAGGTGGCCTCGAGCGGCGCGGGCAGGGAGCTGCCGCTCAGCGCGGCCAGCAGGGGGCTGCGCGTGGAGCCGCCGTCGTAGACGAACAGGTAATCGTAGGTGCACTCCGTGTCCATGAAGGTGAACGTCAGCAGGATCCTGTGCCGGGGGCTGGGGGCTGCAATCGTGGGGAGGAGTCAGCGGGGAAACGCCCCCGCCCCGAAATAAATCCCGAAATCCCATAAAAATCCCGTAAAATTGTGAAATCCCAGAAAAATCCCATAAAATTCCTCTTAATAGGAGGGCGCCCCCTAGCGGATGTGAGGGTCTCATATTTGGGGAAGGGTCAGGGGAGACCCCAAAACATCCCAAACCTCAAAAACCCCAAAATCACAAAAACCTGTAAAAACTCCCAAAAAATCCAAATAAAAAAATCCTTAAAACTCCCCAAAAAATCCTACAAAAATCCCATTGAAATCCCATAAAGGTGCCTTTAAGAGGAAGGCGCCCCCTAGCGGATGTGAGGGTCTCATATTTGGGGAAGGGTCAGGGGAGACCCCAAAAGATCCCAAACCTCAAAAACCCCAAAAACCCGTAAAACATCCCAAAAAAATCCCATTTAAAAAATCCTTAAAACTCCCCAAAAAATCCTATAAAAATCTCATTGAAATCCCATAAAGGTCCCTTTAAGAGGAGGATGCCCCCTAGCGGATGTGAGGGTCTCATATTTAGGGAAGGGTCGGGGAAACTTCAAAAGATCCCAAACCTCAAAAACCCCAAAAACCCATAAAACATCCCAAAAAATCCCATTTAAAAAATCCTTAAAACTCCCAAAAAAATCCTATAAAAATCTCATTGAGATCCCATAAAGGTCCCTTTAAGAGGAGGGCGCCCCCTAGCGGATGTGAGGGTCTCATATTTGGGGAGGGGTCAGGGGAGACCCCAAAAGATCCCAAACCTCAAAAACCCCAAAAAATCTGTAAAAAATCCAAAAAAATCCCACTAAAAAAACCCTAAAATCTCCCCAAAAAATCCGACAAAAATCTCATTGAGATCCCATAAAGGTGCCTTTAAGAGGAGGGCGCCCCCTAGCGGATGTGACGTTCTCATATTTGAGGAAAGGTCAGGGGAGACCCCAAAAGATCCCAAACCGCAAAACCCCAAAAGTCCCAAAAATCCTCAAAAACCTATTTTACAGAACACCTCAAAAGTCCTACAAAAACCCCATTAAAAATCCTATAAAAATCCCATTGAAATCCCATAAAGGTGCCTTCAAGAGGAGGGCGCCCCCTAGCGGATGTGAGGTTCTCATATTTGGGGAAGGGTCAGGGGAGACCCCAAAAGATCCCAAACCTCAAAAACCCGTAAAAATCTGTAAAAAATCCAAAAAAATCCCACTAAAAAAACCCTAAAATCTCCCCAAAAAATCCGACAAAAATCTCATTGAGATCCCATAAAGGTGCCTTTAAGAGGAGGGCGCCCCCTAGCGGATGTGACGTTCTCATATTTGAGGAAAGGTCAGGGGAGACCCCAAAAGATCCCAAACCGCAAAACCCCAAAAGTCCCAAAAATCCTCAAAAACCTATTTTACAGAACACCTCAAAAGTCCTACAAAAACCCCATTAAAAATCCTATAAAAATCCCATTGAAATCAAAAGTTCTATAGAAACCCCGTAAAAATCCTATAAAAATCCCATTGAAATCCCATAAGGGTCCCTTTAGGAGGAGGGCGCCCCCTAGCGGATGTGAGCTCCCCATATTTGGGGAGGGGCCAGGGGAGACCCCAAAAGATCCCAAACCTCAAAAACCCGTAAAAAATCCCAAAAAAATCCCATTAAAAAAATCCTTAAAACTCCCCAAAAAATCCTATAAAAATCCCATTGAAATCCCATAAAGGTGCCTTCAAGAGGAGGGCGCCCCCTAGCGGATGTGAGGTTCTCATATTTGGGGAAGGGTCAGGGGAGACCCCAAAAGATCCCAAACCTCAAAAACCCCAAAACCCCCGTTTTTGTTTTTGTTTTTGTTTTTTAATTGCTATTAAAAAACCGCAAAAAATTTTGGTGCCACTTTGCAGAGTTCTGAAGTCTGAGGGGTTTGAGGCCATTTTTGGGCTTCTCTGAGGCAATTTTGGGTTTCTCTGAGGGAATTTTGGGGTCAGGAGAGGAGTGTGGGGTTTCCAAGCCTGATTTTGGGGTGAATTTCGGCATTTTCGGGGTCTCTGTGGGGTTTTTGGGACACATTTTGAGGTCTCTCCCCCTCCGTGACCCACTCACAGTTCCCTCTCACAGCGGAGTTTGGGCTGGGGAAGCTTCGTTTCCCACAGGATTTGGGGGTTTTTGAGGCCGATTTTGGGGTTTTCAGGGGCGCCGAGCCCGATTTTGGGGTGAATTCGGGGGATTTCGGGGTCGCTCACCCTCGATGAGCCACTCGCAGTTGCCATTGACCGAGTAGTTGCCGGGGCCGTCGGTGACGAAGCCGCGGGGTCCCCTCAGGATCTGGCGCTGCCCTTTGCAATCCCCGGCTCCCACCCGGGGGGGAACCCCCAAAAAAACCAAAAAAAGCCCCAAAAGCAGCGCCGGCGGCGCCCCGCGGACCCCCATGGTTCCAGGGTGGGGGTGGGGACGGAGCTGGAAGAGAAAATTTGGGGTTAAAAGGAGGGGAATTGGGGGCACGAGGTGCTAAAGATGTTTAAAGTTCATAGCAGATCCCAAATCCCAAAGAAACCCCAAAACCCCACAAGGACACACTCAAACACTCCAAAAATCTCACAAACACCACAAAACCACCTCAAACACCAAAAACCCCAAAATCCACAAAAACCCATGGGGAAAAAAAAAATATTAAATATCCAAAAAATCTTGGTGTCTCTTTGTGGAGTTTTGAAGTCTGAGGGTTTTTTGGGACCATTTTTGGGTTTCTCTGAGGGGATTTTGGGTTTCTCTGAGGGGATTTTAGGGTCAGGGGGCTTTTGGAGTTGCCGAGCCCAATTCTGGGGTGAATTTCGGCGTTTTCGGGGTCTCTGTGGGGTTTTTGGGACACATTTTGAGGTCTCTCCCCCTCCGTGACCCACTCACAGTTCCCGTTCACAGCGGAGTTTGGGCTGGGGAAGCTTCGTTTCCCACAGGATTTTAGGGTTTTTGAGGCCGATTTTGGGGTTTTCAGGGGCGCCGAGCCCGATTTTGGGGTGAATTCGGGGGATTTCGGGGTCCCTCACCCTCGATGAGCCACTCGCAGTTGCCGTTGACCGAGTAGTTGCCGGGGCCGTCGGTGACGAAGCCGCGGGGTCCCCTCAGGATCTGGCGCTGCCCTTTGCAATCCCCGGCTCCCACCCGGGGGGGAACCCCCAAAAAAACCAAAAAAAGCCCCAAAAGCAGCGCCGGCGGCGCCCCGCGGACCCCCATGGTTCCAGGGTGGGGGTGGGGACGGAGCTGGAAGAGAAAATTTGGGGTTAAAAGGAGGGGAATTGGGGGCACGAGGTGCTAAAGATGTTTAAAGTTCATAGCAGATCCCAAATCCCAAAGAAACCCCAAAACCCCACAAGGACACACTCAAACACTCCAAAAATCTCACAAACACCACAAAACCACCTCAAACACCCCTAAAATTTAACGGGATGTTCCAGATCCCACTCCTGGGATGCTGAACCCTGCACCTGAACCCCCAAATCCCCTCAGGACCCCCAAAAATCCCTCATGATCCCCCCAAATTTCCTCTCAGGCCCTTCAGGATTCCCCAAATCCCACCCCCAAACACTCACAATTCCCTCACGACCCCCTAAAACCCCCTCAATTCCCTCACGATCCCCTAAAACCCCCTAAAATCCCTTCATGACCCCCTAAAAGCCCCTCATCCCCTCACGACCCCCTAAAATCCCTTCACGACCCCCTCATCCCCTCACGATCCTCTAAGCACCCCCAAAACCCCCTCATCCCCTCACAATCCCCTCACGATCCCTCAAAATCCCCTCACACCCCCCTCAGCATTCCTAAAACCCCCTCATCCCCTCAAAATCCCCTCACGACCCCCTAAACTCCTCACGACCCCTCACAATCCCTTCATCCCCCCCTAAAACCCCCTCATCCCCTCACCATCCCCTCACGACCCCTCACACCCCCCTCAGCATCC